GAGGGTCAGTGAAAAAGGAGAAGGCCTGCAATGAGATTGATTGACATAGTGACTACAACGATGGGCTCAGGTATAGCAAGGATCGCGAGGCTGGCGCAGACTGGGCCGTGTTTTGTTCTTTCGTACATAGGGTTGCTATGAGTCAGAGCTGACATGATTGCACCTAACAGTAACAACAACAACGACATGTGGATACCCAGGGGAAAGAGCACTTTAGGAAGAGCGAACAGGCAGTGCAGAGGCCTGGAGGTTGAGAACATGTGGCTATGATTGAGAAACCATAGGAGACCAGTGAGGCTGGAGTAGAATGAGTGATGGGGGGAGTGTGTTTAGGGGTAAGATCAGAAAGGTAACAGGGGCACCCTGGCAGGATCACACAGAAACTTGTAGGTCAAGTAGGTTTTTTGTTTTGTACCCTGAATAAAATGTGGGGTCATTGCAGGTCTTGAGTAGGAGTGATATGATTCCACTGAAGTTTTAAAAGTCTCCCTCTTTAACAGAAGAATGGATAATGAAACTATGATACACACTCAAGGAAAGGTTTATATATGGAACGGAACTTTCTTTTTTGGTTACCTGGAGTGGGAGGGGAGGGAAGGGAACACTGTTAGATACGTAGAAAATATTGATTTGGGTAAAGGGAAGGGCAGTGTACCAAATGTGAATGATCAACATGGTGGCATTGAGGAAGAAGAATACAGAGAGAGGTACATGGGAGGTACAGACAACAAAGATGAACCATTTTGCACATGCAGTGCTGCATTGTCAGTGGTGGCAAACATTGATCTATGGGTGGATAGATGGGTGGACAGGCTGAACAATCAGGTTTTTGTAGGCAGGGGGGAGTGTGCCATGTATACGGTTGGCAGATGATATTTCTGTAAGTGTCTATTTGTATGTGCTGTAAGAATGGCAAGGTATATAGTGGAGCTGACAAGGGACATGGTTGTGGTCACGTCTTGGCCACAGACAGCTACCCAGGGAACGAGTAGTTGGACCTGTGGGCTCAGGACCATAGTCACAGGGGATATCAAATGCAGGGAACATTAAGCTCATTGGCATAACATACTACACAAAAATATTGTTCCACATCCTACTTTGGTGAGTAGCAACTGAGATCTTAACAGCTTGCAAGCGGCCGTCTAGGTGCAGTGATGGGTCTCTCCTCATCCAGAGCAAAGAAGAATGAAAAAACCAAAGATGCATGCAAACAATTAGTTCAGGTGACTGGTATACCATGAGATCCTCAGCCTATATGGCGATGAGACCAGAAGAATTAGATGGTACCAGCTACCACTGTCAACCACTTGGAGGCGGACTTATATAGGAGATCCTGGATAGAGTGAGAGAACAATGTGGAACAAAACTCAAAATTAAAAAACAAAACAAAACAAAAACAGGTTTGCTGGTCTGATAGCACCTGGTGAAACCCCTGAGACTATGGCCCCTACCTGCCTTTCAGGTCTGGAATTGAACTCACTCCTGTGGCTTCCAGCCAAATAATAGATAGGCATATGGGCTGAACATTAGGTAGATACACTCCTTGGAGAGATTATAATCATGGAAGAACAGAAGGGCAGTGTATGCACCGGAAGACAGCTTGAGGGGTGGGAATGCATGGGAGGAAAGGATACAGGGAAGAGCTAACTATGGGTAGGAAGTGGAAAGAGAGCTGTTACATTGTGGACATTGTAGTCAATGCCATGAGACAAAATGTGTATGAACTGTTGTGTGGAAAATGAATTTTCTCTGTAAACTTTCACCCAAATCACACATTTAAAAAAAAAAAAAAGTCTCCCTCTGGCTGCTTTGTTGAAAATGGGGCAAGGGTGAAAAGAGGAGGAGATTAGTCAGGAGCCATTGCAGTATCCAAGTATGTGATGGTGGCAATCCTGATCTCGTGAGATCAGTGGTGATGGTGAGAAGTATTCAGAGTCTGTATGAATCTTAACGTGAAACTTAGGATGCAAGATTAAAAAATTCTTAGAACTCAAGTTTCCCCACAATACCTGTGTGGATCCTAGTTAAAAAGCAAAAAATCAAACCGTTGGTATTGAGTGTATTTTGAGTCATAGTGACCCTGTAGGACAGAGCAGAACTGCCCCTCAGGGCTTCCAAGGCTATAATCTTTAAGGAAGCAGACTGCTACATCTCTTTTCTGTGGAGCAGCTGGTAGGATCAAACCAACAACCTTTTTGGTTAGCAGCCGAGCACTTCACTCACTGTGCCATCTAGTTAACTATAAAGAAATTCTGATATGACTGATAGACATGTCACAATGGTTATATATTCTTTTCCTTCTGGACTGTGTATATCTCTGATACCTAGCAGTCACATACAAGGCCCAACTAACTGAGCTGGTGCTAGTTTAGAATAGAGAGTGAAGCAGCAGTAAATGGAACTAGCTGGTCCTGAAAGCCTTACACATATCCTTTTGATTAAGCCAGAATGAATTTTTAGTAAAAATGTATGCTATTACTCAATGTTTCTTGCAGTGTTCTGATAGTAAATCAAAGATAGTTGTTTTCTGTTCTTACTGCCCTCATGATTCCGTTTGCACCCCTATTCATTAGATTCTGAGACTGTGGGAAATTTGTTAGTATACTCACTTTATTTAAGTTGACTAAAGCCTTTCTGACTTAAAATACTCTTTTGTAGTTTTGCCATAGTTTTTCAAGTAATTAAATTTGAAAATATGAGAGCAGTTTGAAATGTCTTCTGATAATATAACTCATAATCTGTGGATCACGATTTCAGCGACCTTGTATGCTTGAAGGAAATTTGAGTACCATAGAGCTACATTTCCTAAAATGGGGTCTTTTGAAAACCTGCCAGAAGAGTGGCTTGTCAAGGCATTAGTAAGGGGTCACACAATTAAGTGAAGTTACATGGCTCATCTCCAGTGGACCTGAGTTTCTATTAAACAGGGTGACCTTTACCCCAGTTAGGGACTTACATACCATATACTGCTTTATCCTAAGGTTTCCTGATTAATCATAGCAGTGATTTTAATCAGTCATTATTTTTTCCCACTTTACACTAGCAGCAATCATTTATGAAGACTAAGTAAATATATTCTCACTCTTACGCTATGACAACCATTTTGCCAACTGTTGCTGAGACCATTTCTTGCCTTAAAATGAGGGGATCAGAAGGTACTGCAGTGTAGCTTCCTTTACTCAATCCTCTCCCTCTTATTCTTTCAAGTCTGTATTTTAGGAATTCTGATTTAGTTCCATAATTCAGTGGTGATCTGAGCAGGGCAAGTTTTTTTTTTTTTTTAAGTCTTAGGCTAATTTTGATGTGTTGTGACCTTGAAAAAGTTTTTTTTTTTTTTCTCCTTATAGCTGTCCTGTAGGAGATGTTTTTAAGGAGAGTAGGATTTGGAGTTACATATTTTTGGACCAACTTTTCATGTGGCATTTGTTTTTGGACAGCATCCTTGGAAATTTCTTTTCCTAGGATGTGGAGGACAGGATTTTACCTCTGGCTTTGTTGAGTTACTGTATTAAGGTTGTGAGCTCCCTGAGTCTCATCTTCTCATCTGTCCATTAGGCATGAGAATATACCACCACTGTCCACCTCTGAGTTGTAAAGAACAATCACATGAGCCAAAATGAATATGAAAAAACTTTGGAAATACTAAAGTTCCCTTCAGTTGTAGGTCATGGTGTTGTGTGGCTATAGTGATAAAGCTTGTGTCTAGGAATCCTTCATCTCTATCTTGGACTTGTTATGTGGTCTTGGATAAGTTGCTTGAACTAGTTTTTGTGAACATAGGGGATGAACATAGAGGAAGGAAGAATCAGATCACATGCTCTCTGGAAATCATTCTAGTTTAAAAATGTTATGATATTAATATTTTTTTTGGGGGAATGGTTTTTTTCTTTTCTTTTTCTTTTTCAACTTATTAGTTGAACATTTTTGAACTAAAAGGATAGTTAAAAGGATAATGTAATGAACAGTTATATGCCTTATAGCCAGAGTCAATAGAAGTACCACTTTGAGTCATTCATTTGATCTCTTTAGACATTTACATGGTATCACTCACTGCCGTCGAGTTGGATCCAACACATAGCAGCCTCTTCTTGGGTTTCGGAGGTGGTATCACTATGGAAGTAGTTGCCCAATCTTCCTTCCGAGGAGTGGTATACATACATACATATATGCATACATACACATACTGAACCTTTTTCAAAGTAAGGGACACACATCAGGACATTACCTATAAATACCTTGTTGTTGTTGTTGTTATGTGCTGTCAAGTCAGACCCGACTCATAGCGACCCCTCCTTGGGTTTCCGAGGCAGTATCACTATGGAAGTAGATTGCCCCATCTTCCTTCCGAGGAGTTGCTGGTGGGTTTGAACCGCCAGCCTTCTGGTTAGCAGTCAAGTGCCTTAGGCACTATGCTACCAGAGCCTTAGGATGTAGCATTTAAGAATAAGGACATTTTCCTATATAACTAAATTGTAATTATCACACAAAAGAAAATGAATAATAATTTTTCAATGTTATCTAAGACTAATTTACATTCAGAATTTCCTGCTGTTCCAAAAATGTGTTTTATGTTTTTTTTTTTTTTTTATTTTCCCTCTATTCCAGAGTCCAACCAAGTTCTTGCATGGCATTGACAGTTATGTTTTTTTTTTTTCCCCCAGTTTTTGAATCTAAAACAATTCCCTACCCCCACTTTACCTTTTGAGGAGCTAATGCCAGTTGTCTTGTAGAATGTCTTCCATCATTTTGGATTTGTCCTTTTCGTCATAGTGTTTTCTAACTTATGCCTGAAGTCCACATATTTTCTGTAACTGGAAATTAAGTCCAGAGACCTGGTTATATTCGTTTTTGAATTTCAGTTTCTGCTGTCATTGACTTGGAGTACCTTCAACAGTTTTCTTCTACAGAGTATAGCAAAGTTGCCCATTGCTTAGGCCATACTATGCTGGAGTAAGCTGAAGTTTTTACATCCTGATTAATCAATCCTTTCTCTTGAACAGGATGAACTTACTGCTGTGAATGTAAAGCAAGGCTTCAACAATCAGCCAGCCTTCACTGGAGATGAACATGGCTCAGCCAGAAATATTGTAATTAACCCATCTAAGGTAAGATAATTGTCCTTTTCTGAAAACTTTTGAAAAATTGTGTATGTGTTATAGCCTTGATGGATATTTTATATTGATAAATTAATATTACTTACTATTTATGGGGAATATTTGAATTTGCCCAAAATGTCCTGTGGACATGACTGTCCTACCACAGGATCCAATCATATGTCATGCACTGTATTTATTTCTCATGTCTCTTTTAATCTAGAACAGTAACCTACACCATTTCTTCCTTTTTGTCTTTCATGATTGTCATTTTAGAAGTGGCTAGGCCAGTTACTTGTCTTATATTCTAGTCCTGTAGTCTAGATTTATTTGTTTTTGTATGACAATATTCAACTTAGAACATTTTTGGTCAGAAGACCATGTAGGTGATAAGTATACTTTTTACTGCATCATATTAGGACTAGGCATGCAGTGCTAGTTCGTTCTATATATAGTAAGTTTGATCACTTGGTTAAGGTGGTATCTGCCATCTTTCTCCATTCCTCTCAGTAATCTCTGATACTTTGAGACCATATGAATCTCTGCTTTTCTTACAAAATTTACCCTATGATTTTAGCATCAATTGATGATTCTTGCTGAATGGCTTATTTTGCTGGTGGTTGCAAAATGGTTTTTCTGATTGTCCTTCTTCATATACTTATTACTTGGCTTTCTTTTGTAAAGAAGAGTGCTCCCATCTCTCTTTTTAGTATCACATTAGACTCATGGGTTCGTTTTTAAATTCAATATGTTATAATCCTTTATTTTCTTTCTTTCTTTTTTTCTGATGTTCAAATTGCTCCTCATTTGCCAGTGCTGGCTCCTTAAACCTGGCTTCTGAGTCCTTTTTTTAGGTCCTCATAATTCTATGAGTACTTTTTTACTTTTTGGTACAATAAAATATTCCAGACTTAACTTGTTTTTCCCATACCTCAGCCCAGATCTCTATGCTAAGCATGCTCATTGTTATTAGGGTGTCATTACTTCCAGGCTCCTTCAGTGGACAGAGCTGGGAAACATTTTGAAATCACCAATTTTAAAACAAATAATACCACACACTTTCTCCTTACCTTTCTAAGTTGCAGCTTTGTGTTTCCCTTCTCCCACAGTGAGAATCCTCACTTTCAGCAACATCAACATGTTTATTCATTTGCTTTATCTTAAAAAAGAAACAAAAACAAAAACATAAATTTTTAGAATAACATATATCAATGCCACTTTAACAACAAAATTACTATGTAAAATTTACAGTTTTTGTACAATACTTTTTGTCCTTGGACTAAATCCCATTAAGGATATATAGTCAGAGTGTTGCATTTAAAAAGTTTTTGAGTTAAATCTCTTTCCTTGTGCCTATGTTAACAATTAGATGCTTACATAGGGATATCTGTTTCTGATTGTATTATTTTATGGTTTGTTATTTTTCTTTTTTGAATTTTTAATTCTTTGAATATTAAAATATTTTAAATCTTCTTAAATTAAAAACATACATACAAATAAAAAAAATCAAGCATACAGAAAAGTTCCCACACTTCCTTCTCCCTCCTTGGAGAGAACTGTTGTTAAAGGTTTGTATCTCATCCAGATCCTTTTCTATGTGTACATGTGTGTACACAAACACATGGATACTACTATGTAAGTTTGAATATTTCAATTTCTAGTTAAACAGTGTGAAACAGTATGGAAGTATTTTCTGGTGATAGTCGTGTTGACCTAACACAATGCCTTTAGTTTTGTTTTTTTTCTAATCTTGATAGATGCACTGCTGTTGAGTCATATCTGACCCATAGGGACCCCTCCTTGGGTTTCTGAGGCAATATCACTACGGAAGTAGATTGCCCAACCTTCCTTCCAAGGAGTGACTGGTGGGTTTGAACCACGAGCCTTCTGGTTAGTTGTCAAATGCCTTAGGCACTATACCACCAGAGCTCCTTTATTACAACCTACTTACATATATATGATTTTTGGTCTACTTTGCAAGAATACAGTATTATTTCATACATACTTTCCCTTGTAGCTGAAGTAGTCACGTTAATAATAATTAGTAGATAGGTAATATTTCAACATTTATGTTCTATAAGTGATTGAAATTACTAGTATGGAACAATTAGCTTGTTAGCAGTTTTTCATGTTTGTTTAGAAAGATGTTACAGTCTTAGTTGATCATGCAGCTTTTGTTCTTTAGTATAAGTTCCCAGAAGTATGTTACATGGTCAGAGTATGAATGCTGTATGTCTCTTGATATGAACTGCCAAATTGTTCTCAGAGTTGCATCTAGTTTATGTCATTTAAATAACTGAATAAATGAAAGTAACACACATTACATCTCCTGCTGCTACTACCGTTCTTAAGAGATTTACTCAAAGATTAAAGCCTCCTGAGGAGAATTTGACTTTATCAATATGAAATATAGGGACTATAATATAACCTTTAAACTTTTCTTTATTTCCTTATCCAGTGAATTGTTTTCAGAATAGCTTTGAATTGATGGAAACAAATTGTAATTATTATCTCTCATGCCTTGTTTGAGGAAGTACACATTAGTATAAACTACATGGAGGATAAATTGTTACACTTGTTAAAATTGCAGAATCATACATCTCTTGATCTAACAATCTGACCCTAAAGCAGTACCTGCTTGTGTGTGAAACAGCAAATGTAAAAGGCTGTTCACTTTAACAGGATTTGTAATAGCAGAAGATTAGAACAAATACTCCAACAGGGCCCTGATTAAGTAAAATGTAGAACATCCGTATAATGCTTTAGTATGTGTCTATAAAAATGTATGCAGAAGCTCTCCAGGTGCTGATACAGAAAGCTGTCAGACATTTGCTAAGTGTGCATAATGAACTATACATGCAAGAAAGATACAAATAATGGTATATTTGTATATGCCTGTGTGTATTCACATAAAGAAACACTGGGAGAACACACAAGAAACTGATCAAAGTGGTAATTTGGAGATTGGCACTGAGGACTTGGGAATAAAGCTCTTTACTGCTTTATGTATTTTGTAATTTTGGAACCCTTGCCCTTGAGTCAATTCCGACTCTTAGCGACACTGTAGGACAGAGTAGAACTGCCCCATAGGGTTTCCGTGAGTGTTAATCTTTATGGAATCAGACTGTCACATCTTCCTCCTATGAAGCCACTGGTGGGTTCAAACTGTTGCCCTTTTGGTTGGCAGCTGAGCGCTTTAACTACTGTGCCAGCAGGGCTCTTTGATTTTGTGAACGATGGGAGTATATTGATGTTAGAATAAAATGAAATGGTATGACCACATTTTAATTTATTTGAGCCCTAATGTTCATTTTCTCCTCTCTTGGTTTCTTAGGAATTTTGACTTTGTTTACAGTATGAAATTGTTCACAAGATTTGTTAGGAATTAAAATGTATATATACTTTCACTGCATTATATTGCTATCATTAAATACATAGAAGAGAGTATAATTTTAAAACAGATTGCTCACACTTAAAAAATTATATATATATACCTTTGTTAGTATAATTAAAAAGCTTATATACTATTGCAAATAAGATACCTTTTAAATACAGAACAGTCTACACAGGTAGGTGTTTAGTGCTCTTGGAGCAAAGACTAAATATCAGTTGAGAAATTTCAAATTAAACCTTTGGCTGCTATTGGCTGCTTGATTACAAATAGTTGGTTTTGCTTACATTTTTGTACTGAATTTATTTAGTGTTTGGACATTCTGTAAACATTTGTTTAAAACAGTGAAGTTATTTATTTATTTTTAAAGTGCAAACTTTTTTTCCTCCCTAATTTCTCTTAATTTCTGGTATTGTAGAATACCAGCTCACCAAACAGACTTCTTTTTATCATACATTAAATCACAAGCACCAAGGAAAGCCAATTGACATTTAAAGAAAGTGGTACCAGCTTTCCACTCTGGTAATAGACTTGGTCATTTGCTTATAAATGTGTTCCAACCTATACCTTAATTGTTACTGACACATGAACATTGAGGTGGTACTTTTTATTTTGCATCACTAAGATAGGTGTTTTAATTATACTTGCCACAGTTTGCTTACCTTATTTGGGGTATTTATTAGAAATTTCTCACTGGGTCATAGTTTGAAAAATTTCCATGGGGTGAAATGTGATGTTTTCTTAGGAATCCTGAAATTTCTAACAGGTTTTTATGAACAGTAACAAAAAAAATTTCACTGCCATTGAGTCAATTCCAACACATAGTGACCCTCTTTGCGTTTGTGAGGTGATAATCTTTATGGAAGTAGATTGCCCAATTGTCCTGCAGAGTAGTTGGTGGATTTGAACCACCAGCCTTCTGGTTAGCAGTCAAATGCCTTAGGCACTATGCCGTCAGAGACCCTTAACAGGTTTTTATAGAATTACTTTTTAATTTTACCTCATTGCCTTCTTCCCAGGTTCTTCCTTTTTTGTACCTTCCTTCCTGTCTCTTATTCCCTCCCTTCTCTATCTTTAGTTTGATAAAATATGAAAATGATATAGTAATTCACAGACATTCCTTCTGCTGATTTGCTTGATTTCAGAGTAGGTAATGTTGGTTTTTACTTGAAACCAGGGCTTCTAAATAGTTCATTCTCGTTTGACCTGTTGCTGGGAATTTGACTTTCCAAGAGAAACTTACAGAAGCCTGTAAGAATCAGCTGGCGATCTTGTTAAAGTGTAGATTCTGATTCAGTATATCTGGGGTGGAAAGGCAGATTTCCAGCCAGCAGGTGGTTGAACGGAAAGAAGCAGTTCAAAGCTCAGCTTGAAACACTTGCACTCATAAAATTGGTGGCCCAGTCAAAAATGTTGAATACTTACTTTAATTGAACCTTTTGTAATTTTCCATTTAAATAAAGTAAATTTCTCTAGGTTTTTTTTTTTAAAGCATTGACTGTAAATACAGAGCTTCTGTTAAAAAAAAAAGTGCTATTAAGATGAAACAAGGAGAAGAATGATTCTAGGTGATTGCTAGGTTTTCTGCTCTTGTATGCAACCCCTCTCTGGGAAAATATTATCTCTAAATGGGTGTGAATATGAAATAGGAGAAAATACAGCTGAAGATTAAAGCAGAGCTCCTTCTCTTGAAATTTATTCAGGATGTAATTAATTTCATCTTACCAGAGATTTTCAAAGCCTCTTCTTTTTTCCTTGAACTACTTAATAGTGGAACAAAGGTGCTATGAGTTTTTGCATCATGTTATTGTAAGGAAATCACAACTCTTGGCTTCAAGAACTTAAATTGCTATGTTATTTTGAGATGAGCTGTATGAAAGATTTTCAATTAAAGTAAGATACAGTATTAAGATAAGTTATTAGGATACTTGCTTATTGTCTTTAAGCTTTTTCTTTTTTCCCTCTTGTTTCCATAGATTGGAGCTTATTTTAGCAGCATATTAGCCGAGAAACTAAAGCTTAACACTTTCCAGGACACCGGAAAGAAGAAACCACAAGTTAATGCTAAAGATAATTATTGGCTGGTTACTGCTCGATCTCAGAGTGTAATTCATAGTTGGTTCTCTGACTTAGCAGGAAATAAACCACTTGCTATTCTGGCAAAAAAGGTATTAAATTTTCCTTATATTGTTTTACTTACGGTCTTATAAAAATGAAGATGTTTGAGATAATGTTTCAAGTATACATTTTCTTTCTCCAGTTCCCTCCAAAACCCAGAACTGAAATAGCAGGTATACTGCCTTAGATATGAGTGATTGTATACATGCTGCTTTCCCCTTTATTTTGATTGTGTGTGATGCCTGTTGTTGTGTGCCATCTAGTCTATTCTGATGCATAGTGACCTTGTCAGACGGAACTGCCCCGTGCAGTTTCCTAAGCTGTGTTCTTGATGGGAGTAGATCACCAGGGGTTTTCTCCCGCAGATACTTAGGACATCTATACACCCAAGTATTCCACACAGGAAGCAGTTTATGTGGACTTGAGGTAGACAGGTTTTTAAATCAAGAATTAGGCAATACGACTTCATTTTTTTTCCTACTACATTTTCAGTTTTTTAGGTCAGCAAGTCCAAGAGGTATTAGACTCTTGCTTTGGATCCTGGTGGTTGAAATTAACCATCCTAGTGCTTTAAGCTAGGTCTCCTTCCTACTAAGCAAGATAAAGATTCTGATTCTCTGGGTGTTTGTTCTTCTAAAAAATTTGGAATCAAATGGGCAGGCTTGTTGATAGCTTAATTGGGGGAAGGGGTTATTTTAAAATCTCTGCCTTTGATCATTTTCCTGATGTGGGAAATAATACATAGGTTCAATAATCTTATAGTCCAAACAAAATAAATGTCTTTTGAAATCTAGATAAACTAGAAACCTCCTTCATTAGTCTTGATCTCTGACTTCTTGCATTCTTTTTAGATAATCCCATGGGCCTGTTCTCATCTCCTCTGAAGCCTTTTTGTTTTAGGCATATGTCTGTCTGCTGTTTGCTGATACCAAGTTTTCAGTAACTGACTTGGCACAGGCTCAGTTTAGAGGAGCGCTCCTTTGTATATTTGCTTATTTGTTTTCTAAAGCAACTCTGAAAATAGTGCTGGTAGCTAGCTTCCTTTGGCTTGTAGTGCCTTTCATAGGTATCAGTGCTTAAAGGCAGCTGAAATCCCTGAAAAGCACAACAGTCAGCAATACCATTTCTAACCACTCAGTTGATGCCACTGTATCAACACTGGCTGAACCACATAGCATTTCTTTTCCAGTGGTGAATTTTACTCAGTGCTACCACGATGGCCTGTGAATTGTATCTGAAAACCACGTAAGTCAAGGGCATACTTTGTGATCGGATGGCTTTCTGCCAACAGTTATATCCTCCATGTTGGTTGGTATCTGCCACTCCCATGTAGTCAGCCAGACATCTTTCTTTTAGGTTTCCCTTTTTTGTAAGCCTTTAGAATACTTTTTTTTTTCTTGGTGATGCTTCCTGAAGGTGAATGCTGGTGAGGAACTGATGCCCTTACTTTAGGGGTATAGTGGTCTCTCATCTTTAGGAGGGAGATGAATTATGGTGCAGTGTATTAGCCATTGTTCTTCTCTCTTTATTAGGAGCTGCCTCTGGCCAAGTCAGGTGTTCCTCAGGTAAGCCCTGACATTCATTCTTTGCAACATTAAAGATGTTTTCTTTATAAAGCCATTGGATATAGCTTGAAGTATTCCTTTCTTGGCTATTTCAAGTGTTCCTTTCCCCTCTTTCCATGAGCATATCATCCTCTTGAGATGGCAGCAGGTCTTTCAGAGTTGGGTAAAAGATTGAGTTCTCTGCATGATCTTCATATTAGAAAGTTAGAATAGTTCTTTAATTTCTTATATCCATTTGTGAGGTGACTTAAGTCAGAAAACCTTGGCTTTCCTGCTAAGATCTTGAGTCATCTTCCAGCTCTGATCTAGAGTTCAAAATAGTTTCCTGTATGGGATGGATCAAGTTTCTGGACCTGGTTTTCTGTTATGATAAAGCTCCACCTCACCCTAAGTATTTAGCCATAGAGAGATCAACAGTAGTCCATAAAGGGCCTTTTAATTCAGTAGCTATATTTGGTAAAGAAGACTGTCCCTGGTGATGCCTGTCTAGCTCTGAATCCAGTGACTTTGATTATTGTGGTTTGTGGGATTTCCTTTGCCTCTACGTCTGCTTAGCAAGCAGAGTATGGTGACAGTAATGTGCCTCCCAGGGAAGGGTGATATGAGTGTACCCTTTTGTGGATGGAAAACCAGCACATGTTAGGTGTCTTAGTTTTCTTCTGGTACTCAGAGGCAGCTCTAGCTTGATTTAGAAACCAAACAGCTGCCAAGCAATTGCCTAGACTCTACTACAAGTTAAAGTCAGGTGGTTTCTTTACCAAAAGTGCGATCCATCACTGTAAGCAGGTCATACTTTAGTCCATGTAAACATTTTTTTTTCTCCCTGAATTGGCCAAAATGATATATTGGACTAAGCCATCAATACATGCCTTCTTTCTTAATTTAACTTTCTTCACATACACTGTTCTTCTGAACTCTAAAACCCTTGGTTTAAGTTATCCCGTTGTGGTTGGGACAAAAGAGCTAGAAGCTTGCCCTTGTGCTATTAATGTAAGCTCTGTGCCTTACTTCTGTTTGCTGTTTCATCTAACCATTTCACATGTTTAAATCTTCCCCTCCCCCCCCAGTCCTATCCAATTGCTGTTTAAAAGAAACATTTTAGACATCTAGGAAAGATAATATTTTTAATGATTCTTTGAAGATTCTAACTTTATTTTGCACTTATTTTTCAGGCATTGATCTTGTAACTTTTTGGTATGTCTCAATGAGAAGCAAACTGACCTTAACAGCTAACAGTTGACCCATTGATTTATACTTTGTTGTTGTTATGTGCTGTCCAGTTGTACCCGACTCACAGCGACCCCTCCTTGGATTTCTGAGGCAGTATCACTACGGAGGTAGATTGCCCAACCTTCCTTCCAAGGAGTGGCTGGTGGGTTTGAACTGCCAGCCTTCTGGTTAGCAGTCACGTGCCTTAGGCACTATGCTACAAGAGCTCCCCCTCCTCCTTATACTTTGTGTTCTGGTGAAAAGCATCTGCTCAGGTCTTGGCTGAATATTTAAGACTGTGATTTCCTCATCTCTGGCTAAAATTCAGAGCCTTGTGCTCCATGAAGGATGTACCTTGTAAGCTAAATATGCAGTAAATTCTCTTATTAAAATGTGTCACTGTGATCTGAAAAGATGAAGCCTTTTAGCTTTAGTTTATGAGATTTTCATCTTCCTTTTAGTCATATTTGTTAAGTGTCGGTGCCTTTATCATAGGGTCATGTTCTGAAATCAGCATCAAAGGAGGCTCTGGGCATGTTCAAAAGTCCTTTAAACTGCCCATAAGATAAATTATGTGGACACACTACATCTCAGTGTTCAACATAGGCAGCTCGCTCTTCAGTATTGGAACAGCTT